TAGTATATAATAAACACATATTAGATCCAGAAAAAGAAAATATTAAAATCACATATTCATAATTTATTTAAATGAAAGCTTTAAAAACAGGTAACAGATAACATGAAACAATACTATCTGTCATGCTCAAATTATATAAAAATGTTTATTCAATGCTGATGCAAGCAAAAAGGCAGAACTTCGCAGTATTTTTCTATGGTCAAAACTTAACTTCAATTTTCTTTTGGAAAAATGGCTTTTTTGAGAACAATCTTAATGATCAGATTGACATTGAAGATATGAATATAGATTTCTCTTCAATAATTTTATTTCTATCAAAATTTTATTTAATAATCTTACCATCTTAGGCTGATGTTGTACTTGCTTTTTAACTGAAGTATTTTTTTCTGATTTAATCTGTCTTGATACTTGAAATCTATCAGTACTCATTCCGCATATAAAACATTTAGCAAGTCGACATGATTGACATATATGACGATTATTTATATTAATTTCACATTGACCACCAAAATGACATACAAATGCTGCCTAAATGGATTAACATGAGAATTACATAAGAAGAGAAGATTCATTTTACCTGTCCAGCATTGGCATTTCTTTTAAAGAACATTTTGCATGGATGACATGAAATAACACCAAAATAACAATATTTAGCAGATGCACCACATATTCGACATTGTTGAAGTATTTTGATTTTTTTATTTTTGACAGGCATCAATGGATTTATTGGACTATTCGATGTCATCTTTCCAAAAAAAAAAAAAAAAACTTATCTTGTATTACTCTTTATTTATTGAGAGAACAATTAATGAAACAAAACAAAATCTGTGTCTATATATCAAAAAGGGGTTATTACGTGTGAATTTTTGTTTTTTTTGTTCTGTGCAGAACGACAATATCTCCCTTTCACCTTAACAACTATAACATGCGTGTTTCTCGACATATTCACGTTGTTCTTTATAGGAAGAAAGTAAAAAAGTGCCTTTTTTTCATTTTCTTCTCTTTTTTTTCTGTTCGCTTCGTGTTTCATCTGTCTCGAGGTCATTTGCACATAGTTATAAAAAAAAGTATAGAGCTACTATCACAATCATAGTTTTCATTAAAGACAATAGAATTAGATTTAATCAAATAAATACGTGTGTTTATGATGGAAAAATTATCATTCAATAATCTCACGATTATTAAGCTACAGTCAAAGACAATGACAATTGAATGTGAAATTTGTGAGGCTCCAGCTAAATATTCATAGTTTTATGTTATATAATGTCATTCATGCATATTGTTGTTTAAACGAAATGCTCACCAAAGACAGTTAAATAAATGACATCTATTTACTGAAAAACAGAAGAAAAGTAATCACAGATAAAGTACCTACCACATCAACAACTTAAGTCAGATTAAATGAACATGAACAGATTACTTATTAATACAAGTAATGTGCATCATTCAAATGCACTAAGCGTTTTCTAAAAGAATGATTATTAGATTGTGAATTAGAAATTATTCAGAATTGTCTTGTAGAATCTTGATCCTAAAATATTTATTGACTCGAAAAAAACATATATATATCTTTTGAAAAACACAATCATGCACAGATTAATATCCATAATTTATCTGCGGAGTTTTATATTTTTATTAGAGAATCTTCATTTTGACTGACAGTTTATGTGCCATTACACAAGCTTTTATTACAGTAATTATGTCAGACTCATTCACATACTATAATAGTAACGATTAGAGATTGTATAAGAAAGCATTTTGATATATAGACCAATTTTATTTCCGTATATCTGTGTGAAAATCGTTCTAAGAAATGTTTAGTCATTACATAGAATCAAGTGGATTTTCGAAAATTTCTTGTTTGTTTTTTTGGAAAATTTATAGCTGACGACCAGTACCAAAGTTTTGAAATTTGGTTCACGTTATAAAGTTAGACATCACTGATGTATCAAGTAGTATTTTATTGGTAGAGATGTTCTGCATCTGTATCAAAATATTGATTCACATCGGATTTTTCAAGTTTGATGGAAGAATGTTTTTTTTTGTGAGAGTTAAAGGCGTAACCTTGTCACAATATGAAATTGAGGGTGGATGTGATTGGTCTAGTTACTCATTCTCACACCAACATCCACCCACACACCCACATCCTCAAGTCAATAAAATTGTGTTTACATGATCATATTCATGATTTATTGTTGCTTGTAAATCATACTTATGTGAAAGAAAACGACGCTTAACATAGTCCATTGGCACATAAGTTCTGAGAGTTTGGATCAGTAGAATAATATCGCCAATATAAAACTACATTTTAAGGAAAGTAATTATATATTCTGATAGCGCTCGGAATTCTCTATCGCCCTGTGTATTTAAGTGTTGACTTGTATTTATTTGCTGAAAAGTATTTTGAATACAATGAAGACACCCTCACCCGCATTGACAATGTTCGAAATATTTCTCAGCAAATAAGTTTAAGTCAAGAACTGAATACACAGGGCGATAGAGCATTTCAAGAGCTCTCAGAATATATAATTAATTTTCTAAAAAACGGATTACTATATAGATAAAAATTTTAAAAACACATGAGAAAAGAAGAAAAAATGAAGTTTGTGGGAATCTGAGGACGAGGGTGTCTTCACTGTACTCAAACTATTTTTCAGCAAATAAATGGAAGTCAAGACTTAAATACACAGGGTGATAGAGAATTCCGAGCGCCATCAGAATATATAATTACTTTCTTTAAAATGTATTTTTATATTGGCGATATTATTCTACTGATCCAAACTCTCAGAACTTATGCGCCAATGCAATATTTTCCCCTAAGTTATCATTTCCTAATAGAGGGTTTTACTTCAAAACAAAATGGTTTATGGATCTTTGCACATCACAGTACCATTTAATCACAACCTGAAGCCTGTATTTCCTTATGCCATCATTCATCTTATTCCGACTGCTTAAAGCAAGTAGCTAGTGCTCATTATTGAGGGTGTCGGTGTACATATTCTTTTTTTGTTGCCCTTCACTCACGGCCACACTCTTGTGATACAGTTACAGTCTTCTCTTCAACAGTGACTATGAATGGGGTCTGAATTATGAGCTGAACCCCAGGAAATTTTACATATATTAATGCAGTGAGAAAGATCGTTTCGAATGCCGAAAGTTCGAAGGTGCTATTTGTAAGATTTTTTTGAGTTATTTGAAAAAATAGCCACTCTTCAAAAGTTAAAACTACATCTAATATTACGTAAGTGAAACTGTAATTATTCGTACGAGAACACATGTAACAGGCAATAGAAAGTATCACAATATCCTTAAAACAATATAAATCAAGGTCATATTTGTTACATGAAAAGTAGGAAATTTAGAAAGTGGTGGTGTTCTATTGTCGACAACTTCGTTGAGGAACTATCTCTCACTTACTCTATACCTTTCGCATAATATTTGATAACTTATGCATTTCGGACCTTCATTTCTTTATTATTTCAATAATTGATTTAAATTAGAATGTTATAGACGTTATGCAATAATATTTATTTTGTTGATGAAATTTTTACCGTTTTGACGGCTTAACATCACCATTAGTTTTCTGTATACGAATTTATAAGCAAATCAAAAGAGACAGGAATAATATCTATTTTATGAGAAAAATGATTTCTTTGTATTTTATTAGTCACTTGATAATATGTGTTACAGCAATTGATATGGTGTATTACGCACACGCATGAGGAATGTATATTCGATCTTGTTCATCTGAACTACAACGTATAAATATATAAAAGTAAAAATTATATTAAACCTGTTGGTTACTTCCTGAAGGTATTTCTTTATTATTAGATTACTACGAAGATAATCATCAAATTATATGGTTACATAACTAATATAGTGCATTGTTTCTTAACTAAAAAACAATGAAGTGCATACAAAATGTTTTACTCGAAATTGATAGGACACAAACAAATCTCTTAAAAACTTTGTGTAACGAGATGTTATATTATCCACTCAATAAAAATAAAGCAGAAATGCTTGTGCTGTACGAAATATCAACAAGACTTTATTTAAAAGAATCTAATACAATAATTTAACCAAAATGGAAACTATTGCAGTATCAACATAGATAACAAATATTATAACTCATTGATTTTCTCCATCATTGCTCATATGTTTGTTGACAATTGAAATATGTGTTGTTTGGATTTTATTTCTTTTTTTTTTTTGTAGCTAAATTTTCGACGAAGAGCTCTGATGAAAAAATAGCACCATGTGAAGCACTGAAATGGTGCAGTTCTGATTCCACTTGATGCCATAATTTTGGAAGAAAGATTTCCACACATAGAATTCCTTCATTCAATTCAAAAGAGCTATGTTCTATTTCTAATTAACATTGTTTGCTGAAAAATTATCACTCTATAAAACTTCACTTTTTAATTGATGATTAGTTTAATCGAATAAGTATGATGAGTTGATATTCATAAATAAATTTATTTGACTTCTATCAGAAATTGATGGAGTCTTTAGTTTATGAAATAGATTGAGTGTTCTACTTCATTGTGAGTAGAAAAACAATTGCTTTTTTTCACTTAGAAGACAAGAAATATTTCAATCATTAATTGTTCATTACTTATTAATTTTTATCAAAAAATTAATTGAACATTGTTTCGCGCTTGTTGAGCTGTTATTTGAATTTTTTGCAATCGAATGATGTTCTCATTGATTAATATAAATCAAAAGAACATGATCATCATTTGTTGTTTTAATTTGTACATTACTGTTTGTTGCTACATGGATAAATATTTTCAAAATGGTTTTTGTCTTATTCGAATGCCGATTGTTAATAATACTGTTAGGTTATTCGCGAAAGATAAAACCTTTTTTTGCTTTCATGCTGTTGTTTTTTATTGTTCTGATTATAAATATTATCGAACAGTATAAGAAAAGCACACACCTGTATGACGTTGCTGTCCAAAAAAAAAATTCATCTTGATTTTCTTATGATGTATTTTAGTAAATTTTTGCCTATCTAACTATTGTTCTCTATTAACAACTGTTAAAATTCTTTGATTATCAGAAACAAAAAAAAAGTGCTTCAGTGACAATACATAACTTATTTCAACTATATTAAAACATTTACTATAATATTTTTTATAAATCATACTTGAAAAAAAAATAAAGTCACAGATATCCAACAAATAAGTAAAGAGAGCTTACGTTTAAGTAGAGAAAAGATTTCTTGATAAATTGATCCTTCTGTTTTCCCATAACATGTAGATGATCTACAAGCTCACAATTCAAGTTCTATACTTGTTTGTGTTTGCTATTTAGACATTGCCATTCTTATCAAAAGTCATATTATCGGTGTAATGCAATTAATTTGAAGTTGTTTTATATGGTTCTATTGACTAATCTACGATCAGTTCACCAAAGGAAGAGTCCTTTCGAAATTTCTTTAGGTGATAATTACACTAATACAATGCTCAGTTGTTTCAATTAATTTTAAATCTATAAAAATTATGAACTGTAATATTCATCAAGGCAGTTTTGGTGTATAAAATCGTTCATCACTTCACGAATTCAAGTTTAATTGATCAGTCGATCCTTTTATTAGTTGAAATGTCGTTGATTTCTCTTAGCTCATCAATAAGAAACTGAATTCGACATTGGACATGTTCAATTTCATGTCTTAGATTCATCCTAGGTTTTAAGATTTTACAGTATATTCATTTTCTTGAGCAGTGAATCAAATAAATCAACTAAAACAAACAATGAGAAAATTCAGAAGTTATGTCTTTCTCTGATTTTCACGCCAAGGTGCCTTAGCACCACGTGATTTAAGACGTCCTTCATAATATTCAATAAAGATATTGTTGAAAAATGAGATAAACTCTAATGATAACTGATTAAAATCAATACGTTGTTTGTTTGCATTCCGTCGATACCAATGAGTATTAAAATTCATATGAAGATCAAAGAATATGTGTGAAACATCATAGGGTTTTTCAAGTTCAACAAGAAGATCATCTCCTGGAATTAATTGATTTATTGTTGTTGTTTCAAGAAATAAATTCAGATGTTCAATTGAATTCTGTTGCTTAGGACTTAAAATATGCACTAAATGTACCATAATGATAATGACATCTTTATATAACTCTTGTTGATCATTTGAATCTTTAATTGCTGAATCAATATAATGTCCGGCAAAATTTCGAATAAATCGAATAAGGTTATATATATTCATTTCAATTTCTGTACGAATAATACGATGATATTTTAATATTTCTTCAAAATTATGAGAATTTTTACATTTTGAACCAAATTGACACGTATTATTTATATACCAGAAAGAACAAAGATTTGTTTGTCGATAGGTTGATTGATGTTCATAATAACATTCACCAGATGGTTTTGTACATTTTCCATCTTTGATCATATAAAAACAAAGACGATGATCCCAAAGAGCCATTTCAATTGCTAACTTTTCTTTTGCTGTTTCATAAATATATATGAATAAAAGTAGTCCTTTTTCAAGACGAGCAAAATTAATTTTATCAGTTTCATTTCGAGTTGCATAAAAATTGGCTGTTTGAGTACTTGTACTAACATTTTCATTGAGTGATAAGCCAGCAGTCTTTTTTATTAAAGCATCCGTCTTTGATTTTTTCGATGCCATGTAGTTATAAAAGACGTATAAAAATGCCAACCAAGGTCGATTTTTTTCCACTCACGTTTTATGTATATAGTAGAGAAAGAAAAGAAAAATATGTAACAATCTTTTTGTTTTAACAGAAATGAGTCATTCTTTAAATATACGACAATGACAGCAAAGCAAATGTTGTGAAACATTTTTATTCTGTGAAATTGGAATGACAAAGTCACATACATATATCAAGTAAACTGCTCGAAAGAAAAAAAATATGAATCGAATGAGATTCTTACAAAAATTTGTATTTGTCAACATAGAACTGTTAGGTTTTGTTGATTTGAAATTCAATGTTGAAAGCTTCTACTGATCTTACGTGTTATTCATTAAGATTGCTGTTCTTAAAAAAAAAGCAGTCGGATCAAGCGATTTCCACAACTTTGTAATAAATATTCTATTAGTGGTTCTATTGCTGTGGTATTATCCGTTTTGAAAAATTGGATTTTAATGCACTACAATGAATTTCGTCACTTGACGCTGCATTTTTATTTTATTTGCAGACAATGCTGACGAATGAGTATTTTTCAGGTGCCATCTTCATTAAATATACAAATTCAAAAACTAAGGTAAAACAGCCAACAATCGATGTAGCCGATATAGATGAAACAAGAAAAGTTCAGATCAATGCCATTGGCTTCATTGTATTTATTCGAAATCTTTGTCGATTCATTTTACTTGCTTGAGAATCTTGTTCCCTAGACTGAAAGGCTAGGGTCTAGAAACCGAAATTCACCTGTGTCTGTCTGTCTGTCGGTAACACGGTCAAAATGGCCATTTTTTTGGCACAAACGCCATTTTTATGGCACAAACAACCATTTTTTTTGGCACAAGTGACCATCTTTTTGGCATAAACGACCATTTTTTTGGCACAAGTGACCATTTTTTTTTGGCACAAACGGCCATTTTTTTACTAAAATTAACTAGGTAACTATGGTACAAATGAGCATGTAACTATGGCACAAACGGTCATTTTTTTGGTACAAACGGCCACGTAACTATGGCACAGGTGACCATATAGCGACCATGGTACAAACAACTATTCCGGTAACTATGGTACAAATGACCATCTAAAGACTGATGTAAATGAACCCATAATAATCATGGGTAAAATGTTAATGGAATAACTGTAATTCGGGTAGTGGTGTAAAACGGCTTACAAAAGCATTTAATTAGTGAGAGTCAGACCAAATGAGCAGTATGGATTTAAAGAAATCGTTTAAATTATTCATTATTGTAGCATTGATTGTGCAATGTTGTATCAATGAATATCTAATTTATTAATAGTTTAGAATTAATGCGCGAATTGAAGCATAAAATATTGATTAATAAAACTCAAATTTTATGAATAATATAATTCATATTTTTGTACGTACAAATAGCGCCAATATAATTATAAAAAAATCCTATTGTTGTCTAATCTTATTGGGCGCTATTTATATTTATAAAAGCAAAAAAAAATAAAACAAAAACGATAAAAAAAATTAAATTTGTAAATGCATCATCTTTACTTAGAGTGAGAATTCTCCAAATTAAGTTTTCTGGTCGCCTAAGATATACTGGTAACATTATCAATTTTGCGTATTACTTTTTTAATGTAGCTTTTTATGTTATTACATTCGTACATGTATTCTATCCGTCTAGGACTAAGTGAATCGCTTGACGATGAACGTTACTTGTACTTTAATACATCGATATTCAGATCCATTTGTACCGAAAATAACTTGATCTAATCGAGATATTGACGAGTGACTGGTTTCTTTGAGTGATCGCTTGTGCTCTTTCATACTTTCATCGTGCTCAAAAGTGATCGCAATCCTTTTGAACAATGTTGCTATTACAAAGTTAATCGATTTTGAGGGTGTGAGTGTAGGTCATTACTTCCTTGAATATGCTGGTTCTCATATCTCATCTAACATGAACTAAAACTTATTAAATCAAATAGACATGTCATGTTTATTTTAAATTTGAAAAATTAGTATGCTTAGAAGAGAAAAAAAATATTGAATAGAATATTATCCAATTCCATGACTGTAGGATTAAGTGTCAAAATAATCATAATGGAAGCTTCAAAGCATTTATAATAATACTACCAACATGTGATGTAAGAGGTGCATGTATATTGTTTCGGTTTTCGACTAATTTTCTGATGAATGTCAAAGGATTAGAACGAACACGACATTGATGAAGTTGTAAAAGGTGACGGTGATCTGGTTTTTCCACAAATCCATCAATAGTAATCCAACCGTTCTCGAAAGCATCTTCTTCGATCTCGGTTCGAGGTTTCGGGCACAGTCCTAGACATTGACAATAGGCTGTTTGCTCTTGACTACTTTCAAAGTAGAGAGTACCGTTAAAAATAAATAACTTCGCCAACCATTCAATCGGAATAGGGAAAGCAACAGTGCCACAATCGGGCGAAATGGACGGAGGGATTGTTAAGGTTGTTGTATTGACTATAATGGATTGATCTCATTTAATACGTGGTAGCAGTAAACACAACGTTGTAGTCAATCGTTTATTACATGATTGCTTATGATAAAGAAAGTGTAATTGACTCATTAACCAATTGGCTTCAAAAGGGCTCACAAAAATGATATGCTGATTACGATAGACGAGTATCCATCGTGCTGGACGTAGAAAAGGATCTAGTGATTCTCCTCGTGTTTGAATGACACGTTTGAATTCATTCGTAATCCACAGATTTTGTTGCCAACTATGTGGTTGACATTCACGGTAGAATGTAGTACCAAGAAAAGCATCAGCGATAGGACAAAATGCTGAAATTAAATTTGATAAATTCAACATAGGACCTTGCATATCGCATAATTTCTTGATTTCATCGTGTAGTACCGGTTCACATGGACCGACAGATGACGGACGTTTTTGCTGTCGTTCTTCTTCCAATTCTTGTTTTCGTTCTAGTTCTCGTTGCTGCTCTTCATCTAACAACTGTGCAAGAAGTTTTTTTGAACCACCGTAATCATATAATCGTTTGGAAACAGCTTCATGAATTTCAACAGACGAACAAATACTGGAATGTGTATATCGAGCCAAATAAATCTCGAATATTGTTTGGAATGTTTTTGATACACCATACATTGCTTTCAATTCGGTGACTTCAGTTTCTAAACATTCTCGGGCTAAATTTTCCATCATTATATTTGTAAACGATTCTTCATGATTGATCCAGTGAATATTTTGAAAAGCATTAACTTTTCGTTGAAAACTTAAACTTTGCGTTGCCCAATGATGTAATCCATCCCAAGTCGATTGTTGAGTATTTTCATACACCCAACGAAGAATATCAGTCAGAGTAATTCGATCATCGATATTTTCTTTTTCATTTGATAGAACTGAATTTTTTTTCATTGTTTGAATTTGTTGATGCACTTCAGTTGAACTTCAGAAACTTAACCAATGATGTTTGCCTAATTTTCGCATTCTCATACATGATTGAACTAAACGATCCTTGCTGAGACCATTTCCTAAGGTGACAGCAGCTCTAAATTCATTTGGAAATTTAAAATCTGTTCCTCTCGTATGAATTTCATCTAAATAAAATACACAACGATCAAGTCGTTCACTAGCAGGCGATGTCACAAACGCATGATGCTGATATTGGCAATCACAAACAAAAATTGAATCTGATTCAAAATAAACAGCATAATCAATTTTGGTTTTATCTGATAGGTCCAACCATTTAACAGCTATTTGACGATTTGTTTTGTCAATAAACAATGCACCAACACCTAGAATGACTTGTATAATTGATTTGTCTTTGACAATATGACTCAAGATGTCATCCGAACTCGTACTAATAGGCAGGTATTGATAATGCTCTTTGTTCGATTGAAGTAAATTATTAAGAACAATGGCATCAGTTTTCTGAAGTTCTGGTAAATCACATTGACGAATATGAACAGGCAATAATAATTGAGTATCATTTGTACCACTGAATCCAGTAATTATTTTTGTTCGTGAAGATGACGATAAATCCCAGGCAGAAGAAACTAATTTATGTGGAAATTGTTTTGCTTCTTGAGGAAAGATAAAATGATTGAGAAAATAATTAATAACTAACATATTATATCGTAGAGTTGGAAAGAGTTGTTGAGTTCGTTGTTGATAATCTTTTAGATTGACTGTTTTCCATTGTTTTATACTTGAAATTCTATCATTGTCGTCTTCTAGTGAAAGCCATTCTTCATAGATCATTTTCGGATCGCTTTCATCTTGACTCAAACGATCAAAACATTGAAGCATTTGTGAATCACTCAAACCATTACAGTAATAGGAAAGTTGTGTTAAGACAATAGCCACATCTGGATGTCCGAATTCTATATTTTCAGCTGCAACATCTTTGGCACGAAACGGTACGGCCATCAAACGATTGAATTTCGGATTTTGATTCACACCGAAATTAACACGATAGCGCTTTTTTAAAGCAACGAATAGCACTTCCGATGATAGAAGACCACGCATAATAAGAAATAATTGAATTGTGCTATAGGGAAATCGATCTATTAGACAATCGACGGATGAGTTTGCATCTAGAATGAATGATAATATATGTTGTTGATCTATTCGACGATAATTTTTTTCATTAAGCCAAGCATTTGCAATTCTTTGACATAATTCTGGAAATGGTCGATGATTAAGTAAACGAAATTCTGGAAAACTACTTCGACTTTCTGATGCTTTATAAAAAATGTCATCGTGGTATTGTTGTGCGATGTTTGTTGTGTGTTGTTTGACTAAGCTTAATACCAATTGAATGGTTTTCCAACGTTCCGAACCTCCATCGACTTGTTGTTGACGACCAATCGAATAAATCAATTGATATTTAACATGTAAAATTTCATCGGATTCATCTAAGACATCTCGAGCAAATGTTTTCATCCAACGTTGAATGGACAACATTGAACGACCAGCATCAAATTCCTTTCGTCGACATTTATCTATTGTAAGCAAATCAAATGATAGAATATCCTCAGGTGAAGTTAATACGACATCACAATCACTTAATCCTTGTTGAAGACGATTGAAAATTTTATTCAATTGTATATCACTAAAATTCATATCACGACGGCAAGCAAATGGCAGTATACGTCGATTTAGTAAGCCACCTAATTTACAACGTAGTGATTGGTAATTCATTGAAAATAATGATTTTAATACAATGATACGAACTAAACTCGAAGACGAAGAACATAAGCTAAGTGCTAACATTGGTAAAATAACCGAGGTTTTGCCTTCACCCATATTCATTTGCATAACAATATTGGATATTGAAGGATTGTTTTTGTTCATGATTGGTTGTATCATATGACGTGCTACTTCGATTTGTATTTCTCGAATCGTAATATTCATTTCAAGTTCCAGTATTAACCATGGAACATGCATTGATGGTGTCCAATTGGCATGAGGTATATTCGATATTTCTTTTTCAAAATCTTCCCATTTGCTCTGATTAGCAAAATGTAAAGCTCTTTCAATTTGTTGTTCTACAATCCAATTAACCATGATTCCACCGAGTAATATACGTTGTTCCAATGTCAAGAACAATGATGGTGGATTTAAACTATTCATTACGTTTCCTAATGATGAAACATTCGATTCAGTATCATTTAACCACATTTGTTGAAATACAGATATTAAAATTGTTGGTAGAATGCGTACTACTAAGCCTATTTTGAATAAGAACTCATATGTTATTGTAATGGATTTTACTAATTCGTTCCAGAATTCTACAGATTCTTGACGAAAAGAATCGAGAAATTGATTGATTTCTTCCATCGAAAGATACTCGTTTCGATATTCTTCGATTAAATTAAATTTCTCCCAACCTTCAGTTAAGTGTTCCTTGAAATGATTGGCTATATCACTGAGAGGATTAACTTGGGAATCAGTAGAAGGAAAAATTTTTTCTGGAAATGCTTTTTGCTGATTTGTGATTTGAACACATGCTGTTGGTTTAATAAAATAATTGGAATGAGGATATAGAATTTTTTGTTTTGCACTTTCGAGCAATTTTTGATCGATGACTTCATTTGTCGAATTAAGGCGAATTTGATAGAGATTTCGAAATAGTTCGAAAGAAAATTGTTGAGGATTGACAGACAATTTGGTATTGAAAGGAATCAATATGACAGAGCGAAAATGATCTGACTGTTTATCTGGTTTATCTGTGGAAGATTGTTATTTTTATAAGTACAATTTTTAACAAAACAATCTTGAATTTCTTGTAAAGCTATACTTCGTTTATAACGACCGAGATTTCCTAGATTGATACAATCAGATTGAAATGTAGTTTCCTGAATATGTTTATATCGAGTGAATGAAGGATATAAGACGGATCTTAGTGTTTCGGTTGGTGCTTTCAATATGGATTTAAGCATTTGTAAATAAAATGGTTTACTAGAACATTTACTGGATATATAATGTAGAAAATCGAGTAACATTTCAAATCGTTCAATTTCATCTTTTTGATTATCAGCTTCGATTGTTCTCAATTGTTCGGCGAATTTAAACAAACCAATCCAGATATGTTTCAATTCATATTCACTTGAAAGCCATCGAGTCAAAGGAAAACACTTGAGTTCTGTGCTATCTTTCAAATTCACATCTCCACTACCATATAAATAATCCACAAGGCGAATAGAATTGTAGTTTGTTGCATGTGGACAATTTTCCCAAACTGGTTGGTATGATGTACTCGAGCTTGTACTGCGAATTTCTGCTTCTATCTGTGTAGATAATCGAACTGTCGGATTATATGAATCTCGATAGTCTCAGTAGAGCTTTGTCAATAATTTTTCATTATACTTTTTGCTTTCAAAGAGTTTCTGTAGTTCATCATTAGACGTGGCTGGTGGATGCATAAAGTTCAATTGCTCACTTGTTTCGACTAATTTCTTTGCTATTAAATAATACCCAAAATGTTGCATTGAATAAGGTAAACTATGAGGATTCCATTCGATTTTTTCCATAGAAGTGAGATGTTCCGGGAAATAATTTACTTTTGGTGAAATGGTCGCAATTTGCAGAAGAATATTTCGAGAAACTGCATCAAAAGGTTGATCAGACCAACAACCAGCTGAATTCAATAATTGAAATGCACGTTCCATTCCTGTCATTCCTGTATATTGATTCGGAAGGGGATAAGATGTCATTGCATGTAATAGTGCCAAATAAAGCCACCCTGTTGGACTATCAGTAGGTTGAAGAATACGTAGTCGATCATTTAAAATGAAAACAAAATATTGATAAAGAACTGATGTTGATGTTGATTTTCATTCTATAGTAACAATTTGATGTTCGTTGTCAGATTTTTTGCTTACTTGGACTTGTCCAAAAGGCACGATAAGTTTTCGACTAAGATAAGGTCTATTTGTTTGATTGATTGCTGCCGTGGGCGAAAGAAGAAGACCCGATTTCAAGCCTGTCAATGTTCCGAACCATTGTTCTGTATCGATATACATATCTGAATATTCACGGGACGTTATTAGACTCGTATTAACATCATATTTGAAGGCAATGCCTAATCGAGATAGATGAATATGAATAAAAGCATCGTCTTTTAACATATATACGTAGGGCTCTTCATCCAGACGGATGAAATACCGTTCAAACAAATTTTTAAAGAATGATGATGATCGATTAATCAAATATTGTCTATTTTCTGTGTTGCATGTTCTAACAAATCCTTTTTTTTGAATACTAATATGTAGTGTATGTCATTTAATAAATTCGAATCTTGAAAATGGATAGGTCGAAATTCTACTATTTTCTTGTTTTCATTCCACCAATGACTGTAGTTCGATGTAAAAACGTCAGATAGTTCTTCCTCAAAACAATCTGGAGGGATTAGTTGAAACTTATCATTTGTTTGAATGTGCCGCTCATAGACTATCAATCGCCAGTTTGAATAATCATAGGTAAATTCATAGTGAACTTTTCCATTGGCATGGTATCCATGTTTTGTAATATAAGTATCTTTTGATTGGGCTGCTTGCACTTCAAAAATATGATGACCAAATACACGAAAAAATAACTTATCTGAAGTGATTCTGTCTGGTAAAAACCCAATAGTCATATCATTAACCGAAAATATCCCTTTCAAACAATCAATTGATATCTTATTCGATTCATATTCACCATCATACCAACCATCATACAGATGTTTATTTCTTTTCTTCCATTTTCCATTTATCTTACCTTTATTTTGAATAACTGCCCAGTAGCTAGCACAAAATTCATTTAAAATTTCATAGGAATTTTTTTTCAAGGAGTTCACTAACGGTTGGATGTATTGATACTAATACACGTTCACTAGAACGCATTATATTTCTCATAAATATACTCATATTTGTTTTTTTCTTGCTTAAATTCATATTATCATGAATAGTTGTGACTAGTGTCAATAACGAGATAACATTTTCATTTGATAAAGCGAAAGAATTGCTATAATCTGTATACATTGAAAATGTTAATAGACATGCAACACCGATAATCACAATTTTATCACGCAATATGTCCATTTTATCAGAATCAGATGAAGATGGATTCTGAATGCTTTCCGAAATCAGTTGAATCCATTTTTCACCTACGTTACGACATTTTATGACAAGATTAATCATTTGATTTTTTCTTGTAGAATTGCAAATGGTGAATACTCTCATGGTGATTATTGTTATGGTTACTAACAATAATTCGTTCTGCCAATTACATTCGCAATCTTTCAAATGACGCTCCAATCTCACAATTAATTCATCAACAAAATGATCATCTAATAATTGTTGATGTGATTCTGGACACCAGGGATAAATGAGTGTTTCTCGATTCATTGTCATTGGACCATATTGCAAGAATGCATGTGTAATAAGTATAGCAACACTTTCTTCATTCATTGATAAGGAATCCAATTCAAGAATACTTAAAAGATTCCACCATTGTAAACGATGACCAGAACGAAATGAACCGAACTCAATGAATTGGGCTGGTTTCAATTGTAGTGAACACTTGGATAGTTTAGCAATCACTTTATTTTGTATACATTGCGTGGTACTGATTGAAAATTGCAAATCTTTATAATTTGAATCAGTTAATTCAGGTGTTAACGTTCGACATTCATCTTGGAATTCTATTATTTTGGTTGGAGATATTTGAACTCGAAGGCTATTTTCGTATAGAAATTCATCCACAGGTATTGGGACGACCTGTCGTGGAGTAGAAAAATGACTTTGTGATATTGATTGAGTTGCAGATACCAATTTCACTTTACACTTGTGTGAACCTTGGTAGAATTGTCTTAGCTTAGCACTATGAGGACTAACGCTCACCCATTCATGCATACAATGATGAGATGGATTCGGATTAGGACGATTGACGAATTGCCAAAGAATATCTCGAAAACATCTGATTTCATTCGGCATCTGTAGTTCAAAGATAACAGCCAGGGCACTTTCTCGCTGTGATGGTATTGGGCATTCATAAATATCAACTTTAATATTATTTGCTTTTTTTATAGTAGTACATCGATCACATTTTTGCAAATAGAAGTTCACATCACATTCACACTTTAAATCATAAGCTTTTTTCATGAGTTGTTCACTTCTTTTATTTTATCTTTTCTGTCTTGTTCAACTTGATCTTGAATTTTCTGTAGAGTTTCATTCATTTTCTGTGATTGATCAACAAAATAAACACCAAAAGCATTTGTCGATTCTATATTACTTATCAGATCGGGATATCGTTTGTCATTGAATTCTCGAAAATAATCATACAAATTTCGAGCTCGAATCATATCATCTCGATTAGGTAATATTAAAAGTTCAAATAGATCCAAAATATGTGGGATTCGAATAGCATGTAATTTCAATCGTTCGAATCTCTTGTCTTCACATAATCTTTTATGCATCAAACAAATTATTGTCAATGATGTTAGAATAAATCGACTATAACCAATTGGATCTGTAGATTTATTATTTGAATAATAAAAATTCAAAGCTGCTTGTTGATAATCTTCGTAAAAAGATTGTAAATTTTCAAAACACTCGTATCCTTTTTCTGACATTAATGAACGGTTGATCCATTCCTCTAAACAAGACTGTACCCAATTTTCAATATGTGTCAAAGCTATTCCAATGGCATCCTCTCTATGATTGGTTAATGTTGAAATGGTAGGTAATGTATCGTTGTCATGAACCACTCCATTCGATGTCCAATGATCATAAGCATACGTACGAGAGTACTGTCTAAGCGATATATTGGAATCGTGTTTATTGAGATAAGCTTTTAATTTCATACATGAATGCTGGTAGATTTCCTGCTCATTTGCATTTAATTGAAGTTTGGAGTATTTTTGCTTTTCTTTTTTTTCGATGGGTATTTGCTAATCGGGGTTCGGGAAAATACGATCAATTTTCTGTTTAATATCTTCTGTTACATTTTGTATCCACGGAAGATGCACATCATTCAAATCAATAGACGATAACAAAACTTCTATTTTATTCAAGTGTACAATTTATCGAAGACAATGTATGAGCAAATCAGAAGATACCCGAGAACCCATCGTTGCTTGTCTTGTAGAAATAAAATATGTTAAAAATTTTGTAATAAGTAATTTATAAACGATAGTACCAATTTTCTCCAAACGTTTTGTTAGAATGGTATGAAAAACAACTTTAACAGTCATCCATAAGCCTGATCGTCGAAAAGGAAACATTGAATTATTATATCGAATTTGATCACGATGTTTTTTCTTAAATGGAATAGATATTTTGATTTTATCATCCTTTTCGATTCCTTTGAATTGTGTGATCCACCATTGGCAGACATAATGTGCTATGGGTATTTCACGTATATCATTGAATACATATGATGCTTTGTGAGCCTTGGAATATTCGATTGTATTGTTCATAAAATCAACTAGTAATTCACACTGAACGTGAGATAACAGCTGAGATTCATCAGGCAATCGATATGTAGGTGTAGGAAAACACGAAAGATGTGGTTCTAGTGATGATGTTATAGTTTCTGTTGGTAATAGCACTTGCCAAGATGAGATCAATGATTGATTGGGTGGATTCTCATCAATTTCAATCAATACAGCAGCATTTTGAGCATGAAAATAGAGTGGCAGAAAATCACCTGATGTCAGCTTCTGAATAGTCGATTGTAAATTCGGAATAGAACAATTTTCTATCTTCTGTACAATTGACCAACGTTGAATACAATTCTTAAGGAGTGATAAGATTGATAGTTCATTTTTTTCATCTAACGACTCCAAAAATTCATTCATACATTCAAGTATTTTGTATTCATATTGATGGTTGGACTGACTTAAATAATCCTTGGCCGTTGATGATGATAGATCATGAGGAAGAAATAAATGATTTAGCATCGATTCATTCATGTCTTGTGAGTGTAACGAATCATAGTTGCCATAAGACAATGTCTGACGAAAATTTTTCGAAAACATCTGTGAAGTCAAAAGAAGAATCAAAAATTCATACACTCGAAAGAGAAAAAAGCTCTCAATAGAATCCCTATAAGGTTACGGTGTACGTCGGAGTGTGATCATGGATGTGAGAATGAGCGGAGCTGGTAAACTCACTGATAGAAACAGTCAGACTCAGACCTACAGCTTCACACCCACACGCATCAGTGGCTACAGCTGTGCCTAATGCCGTAGTTATCATTAAGCATATCATGGAGATATGGGTGTGAAGAGAGAGCACCTACGCACCCACCCACACCCTATTGTACTTGTATGTAGGTATTTTATACATCAACACAGTCTACAAAGATCTTCTATTCTTCATTTACTTTGACTAAGATACGTATTTATCTATAATTTGGTTGCTACTGTCAAAATAAATTCATTAATCACAACAGGTATTCTCATTTACTTCGCAAAAACTCACGATGTTATTAAAGACAAAGTGGTTTAAGTATTGTAGAGACATATAGCTAAGCGTACAGAGAGAACCAATTAGCTACCATTTCGAGACCATATTTCTTTGATCGAAAAAATATTATATGTGTCTACAATGGCACATAGTGAAATCCAAGCCATTCAAAACTTCTCTTTAGCTATTATACAGTCATCTTGTTCTCAAATATATCTTTGAAAAGAATGAACTGCGATGCTATCACCACTTACCTACTTACTGTTAATTTCGTTGAGCTATTTTGGTTGCTTTAAAAGTTTTTTTGCATTCAATTTGGTTGCAGTTTGATTTATACTTACATAGAATTTGATCTGGGAAAAAACCCATAGAATCGAAAAAAGAACTCTATATTTCACTCAGTTACTATAGTTAAAGAGATGTCACTAAACTCTGGCAAAAAATAGATAAATTTATAATATAATTAGCTTTCTCTTCGCACTTATAGGAATTATCTGAGTACATTCACTTTCACCATAATTCAAGTAGGTACCCTATTGTTTTCGATAAGCTAGTTTAATTTTTCTCACTCGTCCATAATAGTAGGTATGCGCCTCTTTCAGCTGCCTATTATGTAGCTGGATAAAAATATCCTGTTAAATGACTTGAACTTGTTCATTAATAGGTCTTCTAATTTCGTTCTACTAATTATAATCTACGAGAGACTGTAATTGTCCATGTTCTCTGACCGCACATCGGCAAAGACACCTGCACCGTCAAGAAGTCCGTTTTTCGGTTTGCACGATCATCATATAGTTATATCTTTCTTTTTCTTTTTGAATTTCTCTTATCACTTTACGTCAAACTTATGTTTTTTTCAGTTTAAATATTTCATTATTTAAATTAACTTAAGGGTGTGGAATGGATGAGACCATGTATGGCGATCATAATCTCTTCGAAAATCCAGAGATGGCCGAGTCAAGTCATTTTTGACTTGACTTGACAGAGTCATATATAAAAAAAAGTCAAATAAAGCCTTCAAATGTATATATATATAAAGGTGTTTTATTCAATGGAATTTCGATTTTCTATCTTTTGTGTGAAGTAAGATAATGGTTGTTGAAAATTCGTAGAAAATCGTTTTCCTCAATTTGTATCGAACCATTCATTTCGCAAAAATCTCTTTAACGGAAATACGTTGTTTTGTTTGTTTTTATAACAATTAAATTTAAAAATAATTTAGTGAACAATAGTAAAACTTTAATATGAATCAAGGAAACCATTTTTTTCGATAACTTGACTTGGAATACTTAAGAAGTGATTCGACTTGAGGGCATCAGTGTTTGTGTGTATTGGTACGAGCCCTACAGCCACCCGTTCATTTCATCAAATTGACATAATCCTAGCGAATCTCATTGAAATGTTAAAAATCAATTGAACAATTTTCTTTTTCTTCAATGACGTTGTATCTTTTTGATTGATCATAAAGATGAAATTAGACATCGACGATGTTCAAACTATTATGTGAATTAGACATTCAAGTTCAGTTTCAATTTTATATCTGCCGATGTATAATCTAATAGAGGTTAAAGATGATAGATGACAAAGGAACGTCGTTTGTCGAAAGAAACAAAGCATCATCTTACTCAGAGGTTAATATTAATTTCGTATATTCATCTTTTGTAGAAAATATTGCAGACGAGAAGTAAACTTGTCGTTACTTTTATATTACTTTTATGCGTGTTCAGGGCTGTATTAATACTGTTTTTCAGAAGAAAAATGACTTTCAGCTGTTATAAAACCGATTTGTTGTTACTAATTGAAGTTTGAAATTAAAATGGCTCTCTTTTTTGACAGTTTTTATCGATTAGGAAATAAGATTGTACTGGCAGATCTAGCAAGTTAACTAAAGTTCAAGAAGTTTTAACGTTGAAAGCGACGAATAAATGAAAGATCATGGAAGAAATAAAAAATACGACATATTCGCATTTTACATTAATCTAATGCAAGCTGATACAACGAATAATTTTGCGCACCTACACTGCCTTTTTCATCTTTCTCTCTCTCTCTCTCTTTCTCTGTATATATATATATATATTTAGTTTTTTGTGCATTAACAAAGATTTAATATCTATTATACAATGTATGGTGCGCAAATAACCGATGCGTCATCTAATCACTTTTTGATAAGATTGTCAGGTCTTTTTATAATGCTTTGAAGATCTTGAGGAAGTGACTCATGTTAATAGATAGCAAACGGTTTATCATGAGTATCACAAAAAAAAGAACAGTGCAAATATTTCTTCAATATGACGTGGATTTGCGCATTATAATTTAATTCAAGGAAGTAGATACTAGTATAAAAACATCATTTTATGATAACATTTATATCAAATCATTTTGTATTTCAAAAGCTTCCAACAATATTCGTACCTCATTTTCTCTGCAAAACAGCAACTCAATGGTTTCAAAAAAGTTGTTAGGCACCAGTTTAACTTTTGGGCTACTGATTTTTCTCAACCTTACAGGTAATGTTCAAGGTGATACAATCTATGAGAGTGTTGCAGAGGCATGCAAATGGTTGAAGGAGAAGATTGGTTATGGATGCGATGGCATGGCAGAACGTTGGATCTGGTCAACTTATATGCGTCTCAGATATGGCGTGACAGATTGTAACAGTTTCTGTCAAAAATATCATAAAAAAAGAAGTGGCCGATGTACTACTAACTCAAATTATGACACAAGTACTTGGTGTCCTAAAGGCCAAACCTGCGCTTGTCAATAGAATTTGTATCTAGGACAAAAGTAATTTTACCGCTGTAACCCATTTTATTATGGATGTACCTTGTATTAATCACTCATTTCTTTGAATAAAATTTCTTTCTTCTATTCAATATTTGAGACAAGCATTACTTATGCACAGGATCATGAAAAAAGACACATGCTGCTTGAAGATGTGTCGTTTTCTTTGAAAAATTGTTTGCTTTGTCGACCAGATTCTAAAAACAATATTTCTCCCAACATCTATACAACAGAACATTTTGTGTACTATCAACTTTTTTCCTGCCACGATATCAATTGATATTTAATTCTATAGACTTGCAATGTTTGTTAAAATAAATTCCTTTACTAAAATTACTCTGCGTAACTGATGAATTTCAATTATTTTTCGTAAAAATATTTATAAAATCTAATTAACTTTTTGACAAGAAAAAAAGTCATGATTTTTCCGTCTATATTTATCCTGGGAAATCACGAATGGAATAAATAATGTGCTGAATTCTCATAGCTCTAATATCGTGTCTCTCACTAATGATTCGATTGAACTAACTAAGTCGGGTGTGGGTATGGGTGTTAGTATGGGTTTTGACAAAGCTATAGCCACATCCACACCCTCCTTGATCTCCAGTCTCTGACCTTTGTCTCTTGCCCCTTGTTCGTTGCCCCTGAGGCAAATCGACTAACTTATTTTATTTCATATCACCTTTCCCTTAGTCAGGAGAATAAATTATCCAGTTTCTAGTCATTTTTGTGAAATAAAAAGAGATCGAATTCCTAAGTATCACTTTCTTCTTTCTCAACTTTTAAACGAAACCTAAAAATAGAATACACTTCATTGCCTGACAATATCGTCAATAAAATCACACTTTCCTAACTAGTCCCAAAAGAATCTGCTTTGCTGAAAACTTCACTAGAAAAAAAACCAGAAACGATGAGTGCTACATGGCGAAAACATCTGTTTGGTCGAACTGCCAGCATGAAACAACGTGATTGGTAGAAGGTAAATACCGGAAACATCTGATTGGCTGAAATTTCAGCGCCAAAAAACCTGATTAGACAAACGTCACGTATCGAAGACATCTTACTTTTTTAATCTTTAAACCAATGTTCTTTTGACCTTGCCCCAAGGCGACAAATTTATTTGATTGCATATGATGCGCCCTTCACTCGAGAGAATATAGAAGGAATTTTTGGCCTCTGTAATGACCATTTTCAATTGTAACTGCTGATGAAAAAACAGTACAAAAACACAAATACGATAAGAAAAAAAAGATTAACAAGAGATATGAAAACGAACATGCCTATAGTGGAAAGCCAACGAAGAAAGTGGCGAACATCATGCGACATATATATGGATGAATTGCAACTTTATTGTACCGTTCGTAGTTCCATATGTAAAACTTTAATAACTTCAGTTCCTCTTGGCCAATCTCTATGAAAATTTCGGAGTATGCTGCTGTAGTTGATGCTCACTACTACACAAAAAATCACGAATTTATCATTAGCCTATCCCGAGATACTACATACACAAGGTTAAAATGGCTGATTTCTACTGCCACCTATGGACAGAAAATGACCCATCACTAATTGGTTTCTTGTCATTTGAATTTTGACAGTTTTTGACATTTACAGTGGACAGTGTATACATCATGGATATGAGACTGGCTAGTTCTTTCATCGCAGTTTATGTTATATTTTTTTCCGAATATCAGGTGTACCGTCAATGGTCAATATGGTGTCACACGAGATTTAAAAACGCCTTTGCTATATAACAAAGCATTCAAAATTTGTCGGATTGGTTTTGAACGAAAGCTTATCAGTGGGGAATAAAACTACCAAAGATGATTCGAAAGTTTTACTTATTCTTATTAAGAAAGGGACATTAAATAAAATTTGAAAATATAGTTGTCACACTAAATGTCACACGAGATTTCATACGTTGTGTGTTGTATTGACTCTTGTAAATTAAGGCATATTGAGCTGAAATTTTTATCATTTTATTTGTTAGTTGTGGCCAGATATTGCTGAAAATATCACGGTTAGAAAATGCTCCTTTCGCATAATAGAGAGGAAAATAGTGTAAAAATGTCACACGAGATTGTTGGCAAACTGTCACACGAGTTTTTTTCAAAAAAGTGCCAGATGAGATTTTTATGTGGATAACTATCCAGTAACTGAGATTAAGGTGAATAAAGGGCATATTAGTCGCTTTCATGTTTAAGTGACTATCACTACTCACGCGAACTAATTCTAACACATTCCTCACGAGTTAATAAATTTGCTGTGAAAGATGCGTATACACGATCTATACTCAATTTAACAGTGGTAGTCGGGAAAATTTATTCATATCCATCTCTCATATAGTGTAGTAAGATGCACCACTCCCAATCTCTAAAATCGGAAATTTTTTTTTCATCGATTTTTTTCTCAAAACGGTACAATAAAGTTGCAATTCATCCATATACAGTAGGGTGGAAAAAAAATTGCCGTTAGTATTCGACAAAGTTATTTCGCTGAAGATGATGAATATCAAAAGCTTTTTTTCGTACATAGTGCATACATCACCGAGTATACAAATATAATAATTGACAGCTACCTTGGCTTTCTTACAAGACAAAAAGAGGGAAATAGTTTGTCTTCATCGCTATACTCAAAGTAACTTAGGGTCATTTTGCCCATGCATATGAGTTCTGTCACGACGTAAAAGTTGCATTTGGAGTAAAGTGAAATCAGCTATGAGTCTCATTTTGGATCAGAATATTATAGCCGAATTTTTAGCCTGATATAATGGTGCAGGCAGGAAATAAACTAAACGCCACCTCCTCGAATTGTGACCCATATTTGCACCTGAAGATGCATTCTGAGAAGTGTTCATTTGAAACCAAACTCATTTATTAGCTGAGCTATATCTACTCTAAAAATTTCAAGTTGATTGTGCGAACTATTATTGAGAAAATGCGAAAATCGGGCTAGAAAAGCCATTTGTACAGAGACTACTATGGAGCGTGATCATCGGTTTACTTCTCAAATCAATTCTACTTGTAGTTCATTTATATTTCATTAGATACTATGAACAAAGAACTTCGCTAATAATACGATTTCCGCAGCTCAACGATCATTCTAGTCTCGGGTTTGTAAGATGACTGCTTGATACACAAAAAAGGTAGGTAGTACTCGAATCGTGATGCTTCTCGGCTGACATAATAACACTTTTGCAGAGATCTCGGTCATACTGCAATCCATAACACCTGCTTGACTATCGAGAAAAGCTTCAAAAAGATTCGTCCATACGCTCGCCAGATATGGCTCAAGAAAGTGCATGTGTGCAATGGCAATGTTTTTTGCACCCCACTGTATATATATACAATGTGGTGAATATATTAATATAATAAATTGTTAACTTGAAGAAATTATATATATAATATCATGTAATATCACCCGCACACCTACACCCCAAATCTGAAAATATCTATTCAAAATTTCTATACGTTATACAATACGAAGTCAAACATAAAACTTGATTAGTTTATATTTACTTGCAAATGCATTATTTTGTGATTATAATTAACCAATTAAGTTTTACAGTGTTATACACATTGTTTACATTATTTCAGGCATTTATTAATTATATGCGATTCATATTGATTATGATGTTATACGTTAAAAAACTATTATGATGATTATATTGTATGTATTATGATGTTAATCATTTTTATGATATTAATATTTTTTATGATACTATATACATATAATTTCTTGAAATTAACATTTTATTATATTAATATATTCATCATATGATATATATATCTATATATATAAAGAAGAATGTTTGTCTGTTTGTTCTTCATGCATTTGAACACGGTACGAGCAAATGCTATGAAACTTTCCAGAAATGGTCTTTACACCCAGGGGAAGGTCGACATGTATTTTTTTCCGAAAAAAAACGAATCCTACGCATGCTACAGGCGATCTATGGAATCGACCAATAGGGTTGCAGCTTTCGGTACCATAGAACTACTACTGAGCTCCGCTTCATGAACATACAGAAAACATGAAACCAGACGTTTTCAAGGGCGGTGAGTTCGAATCTGAGGTCCAATGGCCTCGAAATCTGATTGGTTGTTCGGAAACCAATAGAAATTCAGCTCTTATAAAAACAGAGCCAGACATGTATACTTTGAAAGAAAGGATGGGGTACAGGGTTTTTCGAGGCGATGAGTTCGGATCTGAGGTCCGATCGCCTCGAAATTCGATTGGTTGTTCGGAAACCAATAGGAATTCAGCTCTTTAAAAACAGAGCCAGACATGTATACTTTGAAAGAAAGGATGAGGTACAGGGTTTTTCGAGGCGATGAGTTCGAATCTGAGGCCCATTCGCCTTGAAATCTGATTAGTTGTTTGAAGACCAATAGGAATTCAGCTCTTCAGCAACCGGTCCAAAACGTATATACTTCCAAGAAAAAAATAGGGCACAGGGTTTTTTGAGGCGTTGAGTGTGAATCTGACATCCATTCGCCTCGAAATGTGATTGGTTGTTTGGAAACCAATAGGAACTCAGTTCTTAAGAAAATCGCCCCAAATGCTTATACTTTGAAGGAAACGATGGGGCACGGGGTTTTTTTAGAGGTAGTGGGTTCGAATCTGGGGTTCATTCGTCTCGAAATCTGATTGGCTGTTTGGCAACCAACAGGAATTCAGCCCGTAAGAAAATGGACTCAACCACTGATACTTTCATGAGAATGACGAGGCAGGGAGTTTTAGACGTGATTAGTTAGAATCTGAGGATCGCTCGCCTCGAAATCTGATTGGGTGTCCGAAAGCCAGTAGGAAATCAGCTTTCATGAAGCCAGCTAATCAAAATTATGTGGTCAAGAGAAGAGTTAGTTAAGGGCTTTCTGAGGCAATGAGTTCGAATAAGGAATTCAAGTACTGAATATGAGTATAGGGTATGGAAGCCCGTTTCTTCTTCTGCTTATACAAACAACGACGTCTGTTTTTCACTTCTTTGTGCATTTAATGTCGGTAATAACTAGCGCCATCAAACTTTCTCTGGCATCCCCCTTAGTCTAGAGAAAAATTGAGACGAGATTGACTCGACAAGCAAGGAAAGAAAGGCAACTGGGCCTAACTCTACCCAGGTTGTAAAAGTAAAAAATTCCTTAATCTCTATCTTTATCTTTAATGTACGTTACGAAAAAGAATTCTGTCAGGCTGTGCAAAGAGTGACCATGTATTCATACCGGGAACAGTCATGGCTCTTACTGATATACCGTTTGAGTATAAGCGTCTTCAGTTACCTATACCTGCTGCTTTCGCGATGTCTAGCAACAATGCTGAAGAGCAATTGTTTAAGGTGGCTGGTATTAATCTAGAGAGTACTTCCTTTTCTCATGATAAACTGAATGCAGTATGCTTGAGAGTTGGAATTGGAAAGAATTTCTATGTTTTAGCCCTTGATACGAAAACCAAGAAGTTTGTGTATCAAACAGCTTTGCAAAGGACTTTGTATTTCATTAAAGAGTCTTTTATAATAAAAGAAGTCGATCAAACAAAAAGAACACTGAAAAGGATAGAAATGTTTTTAAAAAAATTAAAAATGACGAAAATATCAGCTGAAAACAGAAAGTGATTTGAGCATATTTTGCAATATCAAATTCCAAAAATTGATAGGAGATCATAACGATATTGTTTTCTAATATGTCAAGTATATATTATTAAATTATCTCGACTAACATCGGGTACCTCCGCTAGTATATATATATATGCCGCATGATATTCGCCGTTTTCTTTTTCTTTGGCTTGACATGATGGACACATTCGTTTTCGTATTTCATATTAATGTTGCTTTTATCATCTTATTTGTGTTTTTGTACTGTTTTTTTTTATCAACAGTTTAAATGGTTGCAAATGGTCGTTAGAAAGATCGGAAATTCACCTTATAAAAAAATATTGATCATGAATACAAGAAAAAACTCATCTGCGTATATACACATTTCTCAATACATAATATGGCATAAAATCTCCAGATATCTATTTCAAATTTCGAAACATTTTATTGTAATACAATTTCATTTTTTTAACCTATTTACTAAATAAAAAAAAACTCATCTAATCATATAGAATTTGAATTACTCTGACTTTTTTGAATAAGTATCGTTGTTATATATCATAACAGACAACGAAAAAAGTCATTATTTTAATAGACTACTTCAAACTACTTTCGATATAGATTTAAGACGAACTATTAACTTGATAGATCAAATAGAATTCACATGTTATAAAGATTTAATTTAATAAAAATGCAGCTTTATTTTTAAAATTAAGAAAACATACAATAAAAGAAAACAATTTAGTAAAACTTAATTAGGAGAAAAATGCAGATGAATTCGAAAAATCAGTAATTATGCATGACCATCATATGTTCCTATTAAAAAAAGCATTATTAATAGATGTAATGTTGAAACTATTAATCAAAAATATACCTGGTCAAAAACCACCATCACCTCCATCTCCATGTGGATGAAAATCATCATGTTGATGATCAGTGTGATTGTTGTGTGATGGAAAAGTTCCATTAAAATGAGATGTATGATTACCGAGTCGTAGTCTTTGATGATCATCGTCTCCATGTGGAAGAAAACTACGATGTTGATGATCAGTGTGATTGTTGTGTGGTGGAAAAGTTCCATTAAAATGAGATGTATGATTACCGAATGGTGGTCTTTGATGATCATCGTCTCCATGTGGATGAAAACCATGATGTTGGTGATCAGTGTGATTGTTGTGTGGTGGAAAAGTTTCATTAAAATGAGATGTATGATTACCGAATGGTGGTCTTTGATGATCATCGTCTCCATGTGGATGAAAACCATGATGTTGATGATCAGTGTGATTGTTGTGTGGTGGAAAAGTTTCATTAAAATGAGATGTACGATTACCGAATGGTAGTCTTCGGTGATGATCATCGTCTCCATGTGGACGCATTTGAACCGATAGGATGTTTTGAGCAAGAATCAACTAAAAATCAAGAATAGTATTCAAGAATGTAGATGTTTAATATACTTACGCATGAAAGAACTATAACCGATTGCATCTTGATAATTATGAAGTATCTCACAACTGAATGCTACTTTAGTGGGTTGACGATCGTATTTATAGGTGAATGTTGCACATTCCCTGTTGATTTTCCACCTTCGTTTTATTCCCATGCACTATTTTCGTTTTGATAATAAAAAGAGCAGAGCTTTTTTGAAGAGCTAAACGATTCCTGACTCATTATCGTACAAAATTATGTGTAAATACAATATGAATCATGTCAAATAGGTATGGGTTTTTTTCTTGACTCAGTCTATTGTAGTAGTTACCATTGGGAAATTAAAATTAAATAAATCACTCTATTTCATCTCATAATAACTTATCCTTTATTAATTGTATCCTCGTTGCAGTCCGTCGGATGCAAAATTCTCGAACCTGGGCTTAGTTAGGAAAAACATTTCAGAACCGAACCAATCTAACGAACTCGAGTACTAGTTCTTCTGATTGAGACTATGTCTAAATTCATTTGGAATAGACAAGTAAAAACAGAGACAGTCGTGTTCATTTTCTAACATATAACTGATTTAATGATAGAAATAAGGAAATAGTTAATTAAATGAACGTAAAATATAACTTTTATCGTTTATTGAATTTTGTTTTAACTATACAATTGCATTTGATAGGTAATTGAATATTTTATAATTCAATTTGTGATTTTCATTGAAAAGATGAGATAATATAAAGCCATGAACACATTAGAAGACCCGGGGTCTTCTATTCTGTCTTATCGTTCAGAAGTTAAAAGGGAGTCTTCTATTTTGTTCCTAAAAAAGTCGTATTTTTGGGCAGTCCTGCCAACAAATCTTAGTTTCGCTTGATTTTTGTCGAATATATCGTTAGTAAATCAGTTTGTTTCAATTATTTCGCGCATGTAGAATGAACTAGAAACAGTTATTATACTTGAAAAAAAGGAAGATCATTGTCGGTAAGAAGTGTTCTTAGAAGAATACAATCCACGTAGTCTAACATTTTGGTACGAAATCCAGTAGCGTTCTGTTTTCTCAAGGCTAAGATCTATCACTCGCAAAACTTTATCTTTTCAGTAATTAAATAAATGTAAAAAAGAAAATTAATTATTTTTAATGAAACTCATTTAATTTAGTTGCTCATTTGAAGGTTTGATTCGTACAGATAGAATTCTTTTACAGTGAATTCTGCCACTAGCATAGTTATCAGTCTTAATCTAACTTCCATGTATAGAATTGTCTTGTGAAAAAACCATTTAGAGAAAATCAGCAGTTGAATATACGCTCTGCGTTTTCTTTTATGTCTGTTTCGAAAAGTGTCTTTGGATCTTATTGAGAAAAGAAATGTGTTCTCAAACTCAAATGAAGTACTCCCATATAAAACCATGATGTATATACATGAACTTATGTCTTCTTCAATCATGAAAGACTGTTTTGTGGCACAAAAGTTCCTGATTTTCTAGAAGAAACTCAAAGATGAAGAGATCTTTTAATTAATACATAGCGGCATTTTATCTAAACTGTTACTATTGTACAAAGATCTTTTCATCTTTTTACACGCGCAAATGTGCACTCTGTTTATTAGATCCTATGACCATGGGAGCACGTTTTCCGTGTATAGAATCTAAAGAATGTATTTAGAGTAAGCTGCAAAGGAGTACTAAAATGACTCCATGATATGTTTTTAATAAAGAAACGCAATCTTTTATAGAGAGATGTTTTCTATTAGGCTGCTTCTCTAGATTTTACTAGCTCGGATTTGACACTTCGTTATAAGGACGAAAGCAAAATATTGTTCGTAATGAAATTAGAAATACATAATTATGGACTCAAATACTAAAAAGTCAATAAGCTCGAGAAACTATTTCAAAATATCGATTTTGACAGGGTTTTCTAATGTCTTTTGCGTCATTTATTCAAGGGGGTCTTCTATTATAGGAGGGGGCTTCTAATGTGTCAGGAGCTTTAATGTAAATTCACTTTCCCCTTTCATATGATGAGAATAAGACGTATTGTCTTTCCTCTCGTATATGTACGAATATTTATAATATCGTGCATCGTGTACTTACAATTTATTGTATTTTATTCTGATAAGTTTATTATTGAAGCATTAAATTACAAACAAAAATGTCAAATGCATCAAATAGACAATATTTAAGTATAACAAACACAAAGAAAGATGATTTATGTGATCATAACCATTAAAAAAATTCAACACTTGTTTTTCTGAAGAGATGTAAATAATCCGATTCTAAATCACAATCTACATAAAAACGAATCTAAAACACAAAATAAAGAAAGAAACCAAAATCTCATAACACAACATACATCAACAAGCTAATATGCAACTGGTGAACCGCAAGCTGAACATAATAATCCATTCATTTTCCTTACCAAAAGAAAATAAAAGAGCACAACAAAAGTTTATGAAAGAAATTCAATTGATGTTATTGATGACAATGACCCTTATGTAATCAAACAAAGCAAAACAAACGTAGGTGAAGTTATCATGAGATTCGAGTATTTTCAACCCGAATTCACTCAGGAGCTTGTTCCAAATCTCCTATTCTTGTTCCAAGCACAACTCAATGAGCTCTATCTAACCGTGCGCTCAGATTTTTCATAATTTGAACTATAATTTTAAGGCTTTGTACACCGCCATCTATGATCCAGAAAAGTTAAACATTAACCTGTGGCAAGTCCGAGCACACTGTTGAATATAACTCGTCGAGTTCTACTTGGAAGAAGAATAGGACACATGGAACAAGTTTCTAGTTGAATACGGGCTGTAAATATTCGAATCTGATGCCCGAATTCCAATAGGAAATTACGGCTTTTTGGAATTTTTCGGAATATTCTTTGAACTATCAAAAATCTGGGCATATCATTGGATAGAGTTCATGGAGATGAACTTGAAACAAGAATAGGAGATTCGGAACAAGGGTGTGTGTATGGGTTGAATCTGGATATAGGTGGGTGTAGGTGTGAGTCTTCTCTTCATTCACATCCACCACCCACACACCCACACACCCACACGTCCCACCCTACACCCACACCCCCAACCCATATCCACATCCACACTCAGACCTACACCACACCTACATCTCACACACACACCCACATCCACCCACACCCACACCCACACCCACACCCTATTCACACGTGAACAGCTAAGAACTATGACCGTACAGAACAACTTAATGGGAAAAGAGAAATACAACAACTGAGAAATACAGGGACAATGAGGGGTATTTATAGTATCAGAAATGAAACATTCCAGAACATTGCGTAATTACACGATCATATGAGCGGAAAGATAAGAGTGTATAGAAGGTTCTAGAATGTTCATATAACATTAGGCGACGGGTCCATATGTGACTAATACATATTCATATGATGCACAGAATGAAAGAGAATTTGATAAACCAATAAATACTTTTCATTTATCTTATGTATTTTATTTCTTTCAAAACATTACTTGGAAGAAAAGAAAAAAAACTAGTGAGAAAAACATATTTTTTGCTACTTGTCGATTACGATTACATTTAGTATTTTTATATTATCATTTCATATATGAATGTAAGAGAATAAGTACACATACAGGATGATAGAGCATGTCAAGCTCTATCAGAATCGATAATAATTTTTTTTTAAAGATACTTTTATAACGTTAAAAAATTTCAAAAACTTTTTTTGGTCATACGAAAAATTCAAGTCTGTGGGAATCGGAACATGAGGGTGCGTTCATTGTGCTCGACTTTTTTCGTTGAGAAAATGTCAAAAACTAAAACCTAATTATACAGAACGATAGAGAATTTCACGAGCTTTCAGAATATGTCATTATTTAAAAAAAAATACCTTTTTATAGTGACAATATGCCCAAAATACCTTGTGCAAGTATTTTTTTCCACGGGTATATATGAAACTTGTAATATGTAGTCAGTTTATTTTCATGTTGTCGGAAATTTAAGATCAATACCCAACCCAAGTAGAAAAGAATCGTCAGAAACGCGTGAAAACACCGAAAATTGACCTATTATAGCGTTTTGACGCGTTTTCAAAAGAGGGTGTGGATGTTGGTGTGATTGATCACCTAAATGAACCTACACCCACACCCACACCCACCACACTCACACCACATCCCACACCTACACCATCCACACTCACACCTACACCCACCACACCCACACCAATACCCACACCCACACCCATCCACACCCACATCCCACTCACATCCACACCACTCATACCCAGCTGCCGTATATGATGACTTAGGAGTTTGTTCGATAGTCGTTCACACTCGTCCTATTTTTACGAGAGTCGTAAACGATGTGAGTTTACGTTAGTCGTTTACGATGATCGTAATAGACCCTAAAGCATCGTTTACGATGGTTGTAAACAGCCATCGTTTACGATGGTTGTAAACAGCCATCGTATAGGGCTGCTGATTTCCACTGTGTTTGATTGTGCATGGCCGTTTACAACCAGGCATCTTTGATCTGGGAAGGCATTGGTATCATTCATGATGCAAAACGAATACACCATAAGATAAACACACGCTTCGGATACAGAGAATCCGTTCTTATGTACATAAAACAGTCATTTTCATACATAGAAAAATGGAATTATTGAAATTCTTTTCAAGAAATATCCATATAAAACTTCGATCGTTTTCATGTCCACAGTGTTTTGTCTGTATTTCGAACAACGTGAAATACAGTTCTTTTAGAAAATATGAAACCAATTTTATCTACCACATTTTATTCGTTGTCAAAATTTGCTAATGCAGCGTCACGTCACCTGAGTATTGATTTTGTTCTGTTTTTCTGCAAGTTGGACAAAAAAACCCACTTTTGACAGTCATCAAAGCACCCTATTCTCCATCTTCTTATCAATTCTTTACTGTGCAAATGAAAGCAGCTA